CTAATACTTCTTCTCTGTCTTAAATTTCACCTGTCATTGAATGTGTTAATTGCTTGATGGTAGTTAGTTTCTTCTTGTTGCCAGCTTTAATAGTGCACTTTATTATTTTTAAAATCTCTGCCGTGCATGTTGAATACTTCGTTTTCTCAGTTAAAATTATTTCGCGTGCTAAACAAGATGGGGTGAATTCCTAAATAAGCGAGACTTGTCTCCAAAGATGAATGAGCAGCCATTAATATTAATAAGGTGTCGACGAAATTCAGCATACATTTGTGGGTTCTGATGTCAAATCGCTTTTGCCTTCCTCTTGCAATTAGAAGGGCCGTTGCCATGGGGGGAATCAACAAAACATTGAATGTCTTAAACGATAAAAAGAATGAAATTCGTTAATAAGTTTACACTCTGTTTAGATGATTTAAAAGTTCGAAACTTCTTAGCAATTATTTTTATTAAGTAATATTTTTTATTATTAACATTTTAGTAGATAATGTTGAATAGCGCACATTTCTGAGTAATGTATTTTTCTCTGGACCGTTAGTTAGTATAAGTAACGCATTAATTAATTAATTATAAATATACATTTGCAGGTGATCATTTTTCTAACATATGTAGTCGAACATTTTTAGTGGATTTTCATGTTTTATAATTTTTTTAAAGTGAAAAACAGTAAAAAGTGAAACATATTTAAAAAAAAGTAAAACTTAACAAAATATTTTTAAAAAAATTAAACGCGTAAAAGACAGCTAGAACTTACAAGTGGAAATTTGTAAGAAACAGAGGTGTCCAAACCAGAGGCTGAACTACATCACTTAACTATTATCATTCCATCAATTGTCGTAATATTTCTGGTTGTTTTAACTTTACTTTGAAGCGTATTCTGATTGGTTGCTGTGTACTAGTAACTGATTGATTATTGATAATTTTTTTTTAGCAAAAACTACCTGACAAATAATAAATCATAAAAATAGTTATTTTAAAGAAAGTTAGAAACTTTCTATTCAACTAACTATTACAATTTAAAACAACTAAAAATAAACAGATGAAAATGGTTATTTTTTAAAAAAAATATTGACTCGTAAAAAATTAAGAAACAAAAAGCTTCGATATGTGAAAATTTTCATTTTAGAGGATAGTAATTACTTTTAAAAATAAGAGTAAAAAGCAAATCCTGACACGAAATTATTAATAATGTACTTTTAATAATGTATTTTTCTTTCTCTCAATTATTGCATAATATACATTTATTTCCAGCTTTTTTTAAAAACAAAAAATGTTACACGAAAAATATATAGATTAGATCGACTTACAAAGAATAAATTGTTTATGAAATGAAATACATGATGGAGGGGAAAAAAATTGTTTTCTCCGTATCAGAAAATTCGTAATTTTTCTATCGAACAAAAGGTTTTTAATAAAACATGAGCTGGATAGCAATACGAGTTTGTTCTATTTGAAGTCGTTTGATGAAAATTTGAGGTCTTCTTTCGATATCGAATTCTATAGGAGAGATATTATATCTCAATATCCCAATCCTTCTTTTTACTCTATTTTTCTTTTTGTTGTTGTCTCTCGGAGAAGTTTTCGTCTGCTTTTATTCGTTCAAAGCAAAATCCGATTGTCGTGGCGATCTAGATAAATTTTGAAGATTAGTAAGGGTACTAACGATAGATACCTGATATTCTTGCCTGCTGTCAGAGTCCTTGTTTGGTCACAAAAAAGTAGGATCTGGAAAAAATGGGAACTGGATAAATCGCATCCGAATACTTTGTTTCATGGAACATTTTCGTCTTTCATAGGGTTAGTTTTAATAGCATAACGCAAATTAGATTTTAATAAATAAAATTCTTTTTGTTTAATTCAAAAATATCTGCATTTAAAAAAAGAAAAAAGGTCAAAACTAAGAACATCCTGAATAGCTATTGGATTAGAGTCGTTGTGATTTTCAGGGTTTGAATTTATTTTGTTCTTCGTTTATTCATTTCTGTATCTCACCAGTCATATTATTTTTTTCATTTATTTATTCCTTCCTTAGTTCTTGATTGAATGAATAAATAAACCAACATTTATTTATTTCTCTGTTTATTCATTGCCTTTTTTTTAATCTTTTTCATTTCTTCAATGTCTTTACAGTTGCTTATAAATTGAGTTAAGAAATTAGAAACAAAACACACTTTGATTGAACGGTATAGTATTTTGATTCTTTTAAATTTTAAAATTTGAATTAAAAAAAGTTCTTGGACGGTTTTTGAAAAATAACACTTGTATCAAGGAATGAAAACTTAAATCCAGAGCTAAACAGAGTACTCAAAATTTTTTTAACAGAGCTCTGATTTCGATAATAGTTCTATAGTTTCCTGATCGCTATAAATTAAATTTAGTACAATATTGTCATCAGAGGGAATTAATCCCGAATCAAAATTTTAGCCAATATGTAAATCTAGAGTGCTCAAATTTCAGTTGAAGCTTTGCGTCTAGTGATAATTAAACTTACAATTGTTTCTTAAATTGTATAACCAAAATTTATTGTCATTTTAACGCCAATCGAAGTTTTGACGACTTTCCTACATAAGCTATCAAACTGACACTAAACTAAAGTTGACGACTTTCCTTTATAAGCTGCTATCAAACTGACACTATACTAAAGTTGACGACTTTCCTACATAAACTATCAAACAGACACTAAACTAAAGTTGACGACTTTCCTACATACAGAGACTAAACTAAAGTTGACGACTTTCCTACATAAGCTATCAAACAGACACTAAAGAGTAGAAAATTATAAAATGAAAACAAAAAATTTTAAAATAATTTTATTTTTGTCAGACCTAAAGCGAAAAATGTTGAGTTCATCAATTCCATTGTAAATTTTTAATATGAACACGAAATCCCCCCCCCCCGTTTTTCCTAAGTGATGCACCCTACGCTTTTTGTTTCAGGTAGTGCGAAAATGAAGTTTTTATTCACAATTAGTCTAAATAAAATATGTAGTTTTTAAAAGTGATATTATTGTTATTATTTTTTCACATATTTATAAAAGTCCTTTTGTAAGCAGCTTGATACTGATGAAAACTTTCGCTGTCATCAGCATTATGTTTTGACGAAACTTCTGTGGTTAACAAAACATCTGTGGTAAAGAATGGCGAATGTTTTTTAGAAAGACCTTTGGCGACAAACTTGCACGACGAAAGCAATTGAAAACTCATTTCTCGAAATCTGTTGAAAGCAAATCCACGCCGTTACGGAGCCACAAACAACTAAAATATAAATATAAATCCACAGGGCCCCGAGATTATACGTGGGTGGGTGTATGAAATTTTTCCCTTTCAAATCCATCCCCCGAAATGTGCCGTTACTATGACAACCAAGTATCTCCCCCGTATCATGGATAATGGAAGAGTGTCTCGAAACCTTTCCGCTTGCTTCTTAAAAATGCTCCATCGCCAAATTAAAGCCAACACAAACATGTTTCGCATTATGCACGTGTATGATGCTGTTAGATGATCTCAGCTTTTCTATACGCAAGTGGAACAGAAAATGTTTTTTGATGCATGCGTGTCTTACAGTGTATCCTTTTTCCATTTCATAGATGGGGACGGTACTGTTCTTGTAACTTGAGAGTTACCATTCTGCATTGATCTTAGTAACTTTAAACCTAAGAACTACGAACATGAATACAATGAAGCACAATTTCACGGAAATGTTACTTTTGGAGCTGCATGGCGAGAATCCAGCTCTTGCCGAATCTCTTTCGTTAAGGGTGGATTCATGAATTTAAAAAGTTTGGAAAACCGAACACCTTGTTGCAAGTGATAGCAGATTTATACTTTATTAATTAGTCTCATTGTCATTTACTTTTACTAGAATAATGAGAATAATCAGAGATTATGGATATTTATACCACTTGGTGGCACACGACATATATTTCGGTGGCGCAGAAGTTAATGACAAATTACTTTTTATTAAATTACATTACTTGAAGACAACACTAAAGGGAAAAAAACTCGAATGTAGAGGCTATCAAGGGAGGATTCAGAAACAAATACGATTTTGAGTACCAATATGATATTTTTCATTATGCAAGGGTGCCTATAGTTTGTCTAAAATAAGAACTCCCCCACGCATTCGTCTGGACTTGTGGCGGTGACTATGGTAACGAGGTATGACTGTTTCAAGTAGGGGTGCGAGGTCACTGTTTTGGAGTGGTTTCGACTCGGAACGGCGAGAGAAAGGGAATCTCATCGGTTTACTATTGTGTTAGTCCTAGAGTGACGCTACCCTTCCTAAAACTTTGCCTCAAACTTTGTGGCGGAAGGAGTTCTTATCTTAGACAAACTATAGCACCCCCTCCACTATGAAAGTCCATATCATTGGAGAAACAGGCTTTCTCTTGGAAAGTACGTGAATGCAATAAGTTGTAAATAAAAAACCTAAACTAAATTTCAAATCTTGAAGAAATTACCAATATAATAAGTTTGCACAATGTCTAATCCAGGTATATTCATCAATTAATTTTATATAATCTATTGTAAGCAAGTTAATAACTAAATATCAAATATAATTATTCTTCCATCAGCATGACAGCCTAGTGCAGCAAGAACCGTCCCAACTAGTCGTCTCCATCTAGCTCGATCAGACAGAAGGTTTCGACAATTATTGATTCCCATGGTTTTAAGATTTTTTTTCCACATAATTAATCCATCTGGTGTTTGGTCTTCCCCTTTTTCGGTTGCCAGTAAACTTTCCAAAAGTCAGCTTCTTAACAGGATCACCGTCATCCCTCCGATCGACATGTCCCAACCATACATGATCCAATTCTATGGTTTGAAATCTAAGCAGTGGTTGACACTTCATTTTTTTTTTTTTTTAATGAAAATATAGCAAGTGGTAGACTGGACACCTAAAAATAATAAACCGTAATTTTATATTAATCGAAAAAAGTTCACTATCTCTTCTTTATATTAATACAACGTTAGTTTTACAAATATTTTTATTCATTTTAGGGGATCATCTGAGGATATGTGATAGAGGTCTCACATGTTGCACAACTGACATGGAGCACAAACTAAGCACACACAGCAGGGCGGAATTTGACCGTCTTCTGCGGGACACCATTGGTCAAACTCGCACTATATTTGCTGCTCAAGCACAGAGGTTCGATGGTAAGTTGATTTTTTTTTTAATATTTTTATTTTCAAGCATGGGCTTACGATTCCTAAAAAGTGATGTTGTTTTAAAGAAAGAAAAAAAAAAAAAACTCTAGACGCATATAAAGAAACTTAAAATGTCTCTACGCTTCTGTAGGATTATTACCTGATTAAAAGCTTCATTCGCTTCAAGCATAAATAAAAAGTAAACAACATTTTATTTTATTTTATAACCGTCGTTGAACAGCCGACCCAATTTTTTGAGTTTACGACTGCTAATATCCAACTCCGTATCCTTGTAACTTTGAACCCAGTCCAGAAGACAAGAAAACTTCTAGATCATTCATTGGGAGAAAATTGTCTTTTTGGAGGACTTTTTGATGGAACTAACTCGCATTTGCGTTACATGGGGAGAAAAACCACGAAAACTTCCCATGGTTATTAAACCTCCACGGCTAGACGGCAAGGGGACTTAACCCGTGACCCGTAACACGGGTTAACCCGTTAACCCGTGATCCGTAACCGGTGCGAGCCATGTGCGGAATTCGTATCGACCATCCATCCCTGGGATTCGAACCCGGTTCACTTCACCGGGAGGCAAACGCTCTATCCCCTGAGCCTACACAGCTCAATGCATGCTGTTATAACACATTATAACATACTGTTAGTACAAAGTGTTATATACTTTTTATGCATTTTTGTAATCATCAGGTAATTACAATAATTATTCGTCCCCTTCCACCTTCGCTTAATCATGGCAACCTTACACATTTATTACAACGTTACGCACAAAGGTGAAATTTTTTATTTCCCAAGTTGAAATGGAAGATTCAAACTATTTTAAAATTCATTAACTTTCGAACAATTAAAAACATTATCTGGAAGAGGGTAGTGGGAACATCAGGTCATTTATTTAATACAAGAACATTGTCTCTCTCTCTCTATTTTTTTTTATAAAGTTTTTTAAAGTTATTATCAGTTATTCTATTTTTAAAATAGGGTTGGAACAATACACATTTTACCCGTTTTGTTCGTACGAAAAGGAGCTAACGATTTTTGTTTTTATTTCTCATCCCACAAAAATATAGATTTTTTATTTTTATTACTTGTATTTGTACTTTTACTTACTCTCGTTGCATAAGATAAGCTAAAATGAATGGATAAAAAGGTGGTGCTTGGCAAAAATTGTATTATCTGGTGAAGAAAATTCTCATTTTTCATTTAAATTACATTTAAAACTTTCGATTTCGGTCATCGGGGCAAAGTGGATCTGAAAAATAGAATGATCGAAAAATTCTTGTTTTTGTTTTTTTTTCCTATTAAAAATGCATTTTCTGAGTAAATGAAATTTGTTTCTTTTTTTTTTCCTGCATTATAACGTGATGAGATTCTATTTCGTAATTTAAAATTTCGATTTTATTTATTTATTTTTCTCAATTTTATTTGCAATTGCAATGAAAATTGAAATTCTTTTTCCATTTAAAGTTATTTTTCGATACAGTTGATTGAATATTTCGCGAATTTATTTCTTAATATATTCTGATTCTTCGGAGAAAGTTAATGAAATATACCTTTGGTATAAATAAATATTTTATATATGTTGTTAATAATACTTTTCTTATGAAAGGCGTGTTTTCAGAATTTTGAACTTAATAAAATTCAAATTACAGTAAAAATGTTTTTATTTATTTATTTTTTTTAAAATCGTTAGGTTAAGTTGTATTTCGGGAAAGCAAATTTTTTTGTTGGATTAGATTGTATTTTTTCGTTTTATGATTTCGCTTTGAAATGTTTGAAGGAAAAATATTTATTTAATTTCTCACGTATCCTTTACATTAAATTTTACAGGAAAATCTAATCTTGCATTTAAAAACAATTAATTGCATTTTACTTAAATTAGTTTTCGAGTAATGTCGTTTCTTTTGAAATTTTCACATCTTTATTATTTTGTTTTTAAATTTTATTTTATTAAATTTGTATAAATGATTGAATCAATTATTTCTGTATTCATTTCTTCGTGATTGTATTAAAATTTTATTAGGAAAACTATCGAAACAGGGTGCCGACCGGCCTGTGTAGGGGGCAGGGAACTGTCCTTGCATCAAAAAGGTCCTGGGTTCGAATCCCGGGTAAGGCATGAATGTTTCTTTCTCCGTCTGTGTGTTCTATGTCCTTTCTCCTTTGTGTGTGAATGTGACCCGCCCTATAAACGGGTTGTGGTTTTGTGAATGGCGTGGCAGAAGTCGAATTCCTGGACATAGATGGCGCCACTGAAAAACAGGAACANAAAAAAAAAAAAAAAAAAAAAAAAAAAAAAAAAAAAAAAAATCGAAACACGGTACCATTATTTATGAATGACACTATTTGTCACTATTTAAAAATATAATATTTCTATTTATTTTATTTTTTCCAAATAAATTAAAATTAAAAAATTTAACTGCATTTTGTAATTTTTGAAATTGTAATTTTCTTCAACCCCTCACATAAATTATTAGATCTTTTAACTAAGCTTTCCATTCCTTGCTTTTATATCAAAATATCTTGAAAGTAAATGTTAGTTATACTGGATGATGTATTGTTGGCGCCTTAACATATTAATTAAAGTTCTTGTCAACATAGAACTCACAGAAGTAGACGCATTATGCAAGTTAATATTTAATCGAGCAATTACTCAAATTAATATTTAAGGTAAGGAAAAACGTTAACAAAACCTAACCCTTGATGTTTGTTATGCACAAAAAGCCTTATTTTTGTTAAGTTTTTGATTACCTTTTTTTGCAAAATTGTTGTTTTTATATGGATATATAGATATTCTCTGCAATTTTCTTTATTTTTATGCAATTACTATATTTTTTTACGGAATTCCCTCATAAGTACCGGACTATTGTTCCTCTCTTTCTCCGCCTAGAGTACAGCCTTGACAGCCATTCTTGATATAGAGTACAGCCTGTATTACAAGTCAAATGCATACTTAATTTTCTTAAATTTTCGTTTTATATATAAAAAAATTTCTGCTACTTTTTCTCTGAAATTCTATTATTTTCAATTTTCCATTAAGTTAACATCTGTACCCGGATTTACCCCTCTAGCGGTTGGAAGATCGGATGATTTGACTTTTTCTAGAAGCAAATCGTTTATATATGTATAAAAAAAAGTAATACATCAATGATTTTAATGATTTTTCGAGAATGAAATATTGTACACAACTAAACAATGATTATCTTGATTAGATTTGGCAGTTTCTAGATCGAACAATTTAGTTCCAATAAGCCTCCGAATTTTAGCTACTCGAGTATTACCCACTTTCTTTATAAGCAAATTTCCTTTTCTCTTATTTGAATTATTCCTGTTACTATACATGTAAGAAAATCGACTCTTTAATTATCGTTACTGTAAACACATATATAAGAAGACTTATATAGTTGAATTGTATATTATTTACCATAAACAGGGGTCTGGTTAGAAGAAATTTGGGTCCGTTAACGGACCCTTCACAAAATATCTTTTCATAAAAACGGACCCTTCACAAAATGATTTTTCTTTTAATCGGACCCTTCACAAATTTGTTTATCTTCATTATTGTTTTGTTCTTGGCGAACAAAGTCGAATAAACCCTTCCCAGGGCAGAAAACAAGAAAGATGGATGTAAACGAATTAAGTTTTGTCTTCGGCAGACGATTCTTCCATTATTCGTCCGAAATGAATATTCTGCGTTCAGCAGTATAGGCTAAATACCAAATATTTGTATGTTGCATCTCTAATTTAGAAGCAGCAATTGCTGTTTATTTTTGAAAATTTAATTTTTTTTTAATTATTATAATTTTACAGTGCCGAGCATAATCTTGAATCTATTTACAATTTAAAAACTCCTTGATAAAGTTTTTTGCAATGACCGGACCCTATTTGCACAAACTCATAAAAGTGGACCCTGGTTGAAAGAATGTGAGTAATTTTCTCACAATTTCATGAAAACCGGACCTTTCACAAAATGTCTGGACAGATCCCTGATAAACATGTATGTCAAAAAATTTCTTCTCAAGAAATGCATAGTTGAATTATAACTGCAGGAAGTTTATAGGCTCATAATATTGTTTTGTACGCAACGTCTAAAAGCATTTTATTTCCTAAACCAAATTTAAAATATGAATAAGTGAAAGGATTACATTTTCTGCCCACATTTTCTTATCTTCCATCCTCTTTTAAAAATAATGAATATTTTTTTCCTGGAAAAAAATATATAATCCGCCTTTCCGGATTGAAAGCCCCGGATCTGATGTTCTGACGTACCCTTGTAAACATACGTTTCACAAACAGCGAGAGGGGTTGCAAGAAATTATTTTTTTTTCCATCCTGTTTCAGTCAAATACTGTTACTTTGGGATGTGTACGATGTTGAAACAACGTCTAAAGAGTTAGAAGTTTTCTATCTAATCCATTACTTAGTCTTGAGCAAAAATGCGTATTATGAATTATGCAAAAGTAATCTAAAAAAGAATTTCTCCCCCATTCTTGATTCGCCTATTACTTATTCGTGTTCACCCTACCCCTATCTTCAATTTATTACGAAGTATTTCGTATTTTTTTTACTTTGTTTGAAAAGTTCTGAAATAGCGTGTTTTGTTAAATTGCTGTATTTTGTCTACCAGCGAAGAATTTTGCTTTGGAATATAACAATCTTGACGTTTGCGTTTAGTTTATATTTTTAAAAGAATTATATTCAGTGAATATAAAAGAGATTTTTATTGTATTTCTTGACTACGCTATTCTTTTGATTTGCTAGTTGGGAAAATGTATTTTGGTATCTGGTACAAAATTGTTCCTTGCATGGATTGTGGAAAGAGATATACTTTCCAGTAAAGTAAATATGGGTTAGAAGTTGGATTAAAAAAATACGCTAATGTTTTCATTGCTTCAGAGAATTCTTTTTCTTGCCTTACATCCCTTTATTTTCAAACTATTCATTGCCTTATTTTGCTTGAATTATTTGATGTTGCAGCGTGTTACATCTTTTTAGTT